AAGAATTGATGCTTTTGAACTGTGGTGTTGGAGAAGACTCTTGAGAGCCCCTTGGACTGCAAGGAGATCCAACCAGTCCATCCTAAAGGAGATCAGTCCTGGGTGTTCATTGGAAGGGCTGATGTTGAAGCTAAACCTCCATCACTTTGGCCACCTGATGCAAAAAGCTGCCTCATTTGAAAAGACCCTGATGCTGGGAAAGATTGAGGGTGGGAGGAGAAGGGGATGATAGAGAATGAGATGGTTGGATGGTATCACCGATTCAGTGGACATAGGTCTGGGTAGACTCTGGCAGTTTGTGATGGACAGAAAGGTCTGGTGTGCTGCGGTTCATGGGGTCACAAAGAGCCTGCCACGACTGAGTGACTGAACTGAACTGAAGTCTTCCAGTCTATAAAGATGGGATCATGCTACCCAAAGTGATCTATAGAATCAATGTTATCTCCATCAAAATCACAATGGCATTCTTTGCAGAAGTAGAAAAAAATTCAAAAGACAGTAAATAGCCAGAGGAACCTTGAGAAAAAAGAACAAAGTTAGAGGCATCATTACTTCCTGATCTCAAAATATGCTGTGAAACTACAGTAATTAAAATAAAGGACAGAAATGGTGAGGACCCAACAGAGGCAGAAGAGATTAAGAAAAGATGGCAAGAATATACAGAAGAACTATACAAAAAAGATTTTAACGACCCAAATGACCATGATCACTCACCTAGAGCCTGAGATCCTGGAGTGTAAAGTCAAGAAGATTTTAGGAAGCATTACTACAAACAAGGCTAGTGGAGGTGATGGAATCCCAGCTGAGCTATTTCAAATCCTAAAAGATGATGCTTTTAAAGTGTTGCACTCAATAGGCCAGAAAATCTGGAAAACTCAGCAGTGGCCGCAGGACAGGAAAAGATCAGTTTTCATTCCAATCCCAAAGAAGGACAATGCCAAGGAGTGTTCAAACTACTGCACAATTGCTCTCATTTCACATACTAGCTCAAAGTCCTTCAAGGAAGGCTTCAGCAGTATGTGAATTGAGAACTTCCAGATGTACAAGCTAGATTTAGAAAACGCAGAGGAACCAGAGATCAAATTGCCAACATCCCTTGGATCATACAAAAACCAAGGGAATTCCAGAAAAATATCTACTTCCGCTTGACAACACTAAAGCCTTTGACTGTGTGGATCACAAAAAACTGGAAAATTCGTAAAGAGATGAGAATACCAGACTACTTTACCTGCCTCCTAAGAAACCTGTATGCAGGTCAAGAAGCAACAGTTAGAACCGGACATGGAACAACAGACTGGTTCCAAATTGGGAAGGGAGTACATCAAGGCTGTATATTGTCACCCTGCTTATTTGACTTATAAACAGCATACATCATGTGAAATGCCAGGCTGGATGAAGCTCAAGCTGGAATCGAGATTTCTGGGAGAAATATCAATAATCTCCGATATGCAAATGATACCACCCTAGTAACAGAAAGCAAAGAGGAACTAAAGAACCTCTTGATGAAAGTGGAAGAGGAGAGTGAAAAAGCAGGCTTAAAACTCAACATTCAAAAAACTAAGATTATGGCATCCAGCCCCATCATTCCATGCAAACAGACGGGGGAACAATGGAAACAGTGACAGACTTTATTTTCTTGGGATCCAAAATCACTGTGGACAGTGACTGCAGCCATGAAATTAAAAGATGCTTGCTCCTTGGAAGAAACTCTATGACAAACCAAGACACATATTAAAAGAGCAGAGACATTATTTTCCTGACAAAAGTCCACCTAGTCAAAGCTATGGTTTTTCCAGTAGTCATGTACGGATGTGACAGATGGACCATAAAGAAGGTTGACTGCTGAAGAATTGATGCTTTAGAACCGTGGTGTTGAAGAAGACTCTTGAGAGTCCTTTAGATAGTCAGGAGATCAAACTAGTCAATCCTAAAGGAAATCCACCCTGAATATTCACTGGAAGGACTGATGCTGAAGCTCCAACACTTTGGCCACCTGATGCGAACAGCCAACTCACTGGAAAAGACCCTAATTCTAGGAAAGATTTAGGGCAAGAGTAGAAAAGGGTGACAGAGGATGAGATGGTTGGATAGTATCACTGACTGAATGGACACAAATCTGAGCAAACTCCATGAGATAGTGAAGGACAGGGAAGCCTGGCATGTTGTAGTCCATGGGGTCACAAAGAGTTGGACACAACTTAGTGACTGAACAACAGCAATAGTAATTAAAATGATGTTACTGGCATACAGACATATAGATCAATGGAAAAGAAAAGACAGCCCAGAAATAAACCCACACATATAGTCAAACTGATCTTCAACAAGAGGATAAAGAATATGCAATGAAAAAGGGGTAATCTCTTCAACAAATGGTATTGAAAACTGGATATCTGCATGCAAAAGGATGAAATTGGACCTTTATCTTATACCATATGCAAAAATCAACTCAACTGATGAAAAACTTAAGTATAATACCTACAACTGTAAAGCTCCTAAAAGAAAACACAGGAGAAAAGCTTCTTGACATTTGCCTTGGTAATGGTTTCTTGACCATGACATCAAAAGTACAGATAAGAAAAACAAAACTAGAAAAGTGGGATTGCATGAAAATGCATGAAAATGAAAAATCTTCCATATAGCAAAAGAAATAAAAAGTCAACCCATTGCCTTTAACAGTTTTTGAAAGGGTTACTCTCATGTTAAATCTTACCACAGAGATAAAAGAAAACAAATCAAACCCAAAGTGGCAGGAGGAAACTTTTAGAGGTGATGGATATGTTTATTACTATGATTATGGTTCCATGGATATGTGCATGTTTCCAAACTCATCAATTGTACCCGTTTAATATGTGCAATTTCTTTCTTTATTATCAATTATACCTCAGTAAAACTGTCTGAAAAATACTATGTGCACTGTTTTGATTAGACAGACATAAGGTGCTGGACAAATCTAAAGTCTGGTTATTTATTTTTTGGTACTTACTTTAAACTATTGCTTATATTAAATTGAATAAAATCAATAGAAGGAGAAATTCCTAAGCCTTTTATGCAATACGGTTTCCACTACAGGCTCAGGCCAATTATTCCTTTGACATCTGCAACTGGCATTTTAAATTATCAGAAAAAATAGCTGCTAGTGACATTTTTTTCAAAGTCCGCTTGGCTGCACACCATGTCATGATCTCCCTAGAAAAGCATATCAGGAGGAATTAGATTAATTTTTAAAGGCTCTTTACCCTTGAGTTTACTGTAAGAATCCATCATTTACACCTCATGTTTATTAAGTAACTCCATGTTTTATATACGATGTTTATAAAACTTGGTTGTGTGAGCGGTTTATATTTGAGTCCCTGCATGGCTATATGAGACAATCAGGGTTGGAAGATGTTAACAAATTAATAAATAGAGCCCTGATCACAATAATAGAGAGATTCCATTCTATGTTATGTTTAATTTTGTCCAAATATAAAAAAAGAAAGGTATTTAATTCTACAAGCTGTAATCACAGAGAATTTTTACATAAACATGAGATAAATCTTCAGAGAGTAACATTACAGTTCAATATCACAGCTTACAAAAAAAGCCTTTCTTGATTCTTCAAGTTTAACTTAAAAGCCCCACTCTCTGTGAAACCATATTAAAATCTGTATCACTGCTGCCCTTAGTGTCTATGTTATTATAGTAATGTCCATTTCTGACCATCCTAGCCCTCAAGTAACCTTACAAGAGTTATAGAGCAGGTGTTATTATACCCATTTCATGGAAAAGGAAACTGAGTCTCAGAACATATCAATACCTGTGGAGGGAACAGTGGATGGTAGAGGAGGGATTTGACTTGAAGCCTTAAGACCTGTGCCCAGGGTTTACATCTCTGAGAGCATTCTCACCGACTGAGCTCTGCTCCCCAGCTCCAAGGACAGTCGACTTGCACCGAGGAGGCAGCAGCAGATGTTACTGACGGGAGCCGGAACGCAGATACCCAGCACAGCGGAAAGGTGGTTGCTTTTTCCGATGCCTGAGATGTAACAACGGGCAAACCAAGAACTAAGAATTGTCCAGCAAGACACACAAGTGCATCCTCCAAAGTATACAGTATCACCATTTTTGACATTCCCCTTCTAAATGGTTCATTTTCTGTGGCCTCGGCAATTAGCTGCTCCCCATCCCTGAGCAAAGGACCAGGAACAAGATAGTGGGACGCGGCTCTCCGCTCTCCTTGCTCCGCAGAGAGCTCTGCTCCACAAGGTGGTCAATAATGCTGAGGGTGGGGAGGGTACAAGAGAGACCTGTAAATACAGAAAGATATGTTCTGTCTTGAAAAGGGCTTTGGGGAGCATAATTGACCTTAAAAAGGTCCCACAAATAAAAGCAGTTATAAATTGCACGTTAACCCTGGGCATCAAAATTGTTTCTCACTTAATCTGAATTATAAAGACTAAGAGCCATGTTATCCCTGATAAGTTATCTGCAAGGTCCAGTTTATTCAGCAGATGATACACTGTATCACATCATCCAGTGTTTCCAAGCTTAATATCTAATGGCCGTATTTTCTATCCAGTAGGAAGTATGTTTCTCATTAATTGTTATATAAAGCTATTTAATTACAAATCACTTACAATTAAAAAACTGATGTTTAGTTGGCACACTAGTGATGAGATTTAAAAATTTAAGGAAGAAAACCTTCTTGTATTAAGGACAGCAAGTCTTGCACAGCCAAATGATTTCATGAGGCAAGGGTTTCCATTTCATTGACAGGATGTCAGAGGGGACACCTCAGTAGCCTGCAGGTCTGAACTGCTCTGTGGTGGGTGAGATGATACAAACTGCCTCCCTTGTTCCTCTCTATTTCAGTTTGCAAATGATGTCATTTGTTACTTTTCAGGAAATTTTTTCCCAGGAAAGATACTTCCTTATTCTGTTTTACATAATCTAAAAAAGAAAGAAAGAAATTACCAACAGGAGGAATGCAATCAGTAAGAACAGTTGAAGTTAGAGATGGATTATATCCTTGCAGAAGATATCAGGAAAAAAAAATGCACGCATCTTCTATGTATATACAATGCAAAGTGTCAGTATATAACACATGTTGTAGTTGTTAAACATATATGTACATAGTGGGAAATGTACATATATATGTGTATATATACATGTGTTGTTCAGAGACAAAGAAATCAAAGGAGGGCAATTATCCGTCCATCCAGCCATCTGATAATACTTGAATGAGCAGGTGCTATGTGCTAAGGTAGCACAAACAGATAGGACATGGTGAAGCTAGACCCTCAGTACTATTAACAAACCCAGTTCCTCCTTCACTAGGCAATTTTAAATAGTGCAAAACAGCTGATAGATTGAAAAGTTATGTTGTTTATTTTCTTAATAGAGAAGAGGTAGCCTGACAGAAGGCTCAAGGAGTTGAAATTTGTTGTTCATGGTGTAAAATACCACCACCAGTACTATTTACATTGTTTCCACTAGGGGATTAAACACAGTGGCCTTTAGCTACAGGGTCGGGCTACACTGTTGCCTTGCCTTTCAACCATTTATAATACTGAGCATTACTAGTCTGGAATTACGGACTGTAAGAACAGGAAGACAGTGTTAAGAGCTAGTACATTAAAGCAAATTTCTAATTCTGCCTAACTAGCATGAATTTACTTTATTAACTAGCAGTTACATTTCCCACGCCTTCAATTAACACTGGTTTCATTTTAAATGCTATCAGTTAAGACAAGATGCGATAAGAAAACATCATTGCCAGGCAAGCTTTCCTCAAACACAGCTGATTTATCTCTTTGGCAATTCATTAAAATGCAAAATATATTGGAATTGATTTTCAGCACTTTCAGGCAGGAATGTTTCTAATAATGTTAATTTGCAAATTTCCTCTTTTTTTTTTTTTAAGTCTCTGTGCTGCAGACGCCATGTTCAGCCAAAGGCTATTTGTATTGTGCAGACAGAAAATGAACAGGGAACATTTATTTCTCATATCTTTCTGAGAAACCTGAGGCGCATGAAGATATTTGTGCTGTAACAGGCATAGTCAATCCCCTTCACTCCCTTTAGTTGCTATATATCAACCAGCAGACTCCCAGCTAGTGCTGCTGCAGCAATTAACCTGCCAGAGCGCACCCCTGTCAGGCTCGGTAATAACAAACT